GCAGCTCATTTGAACTCATAATGAATTTGAACCCGTTATTTTCCATTCATTTTTCTGGGTTAAGTAGTGTTTTGAAGTAATTTTTCCAACTGATTTTTGTTTCAAAAGTGACTTTCTATCTGAAGAAGTTGTATTCTTAGGCCTTACAAATTTGAAACTAAACCTTTGCTGGGCTGACTTGTCACCTTTCTGGGCTTTTCCTGTCATCTCTCTGTTACTGAAACTCCTGTTACTTGGGTGCTTCTCTCACTTTGTCCCTCCTTCATTTACACTGCCACTGCCTTTTCCTTGCCCCTGTGTTTGACCCAGCTCTCCTTAGAGCCAGTTTGTTTTTTTTTTCCTCAGCCCATCCTGGTATGGGATGCTGTGACCCAGCTACTGATGGTTGTGGTACCACTTCCATCGCAGGGCTTTATTCTTTATGCCTCGCCAGTTGGAAATCTCACATAAATACTCATCTTTTCCTCCTGCCTATGTCTCTCCAGTTCTTTTTCCTGCCAGTTACTTTTTTTTTTTTAATGCAGTCTTGTAATTGCTGCCTTAAACAAAGAACATTTCAAATTGCAGTTTGTGAAATAGGTTTTAAAGAAGAAACTTGTATTATCAGTCCTGCACTCAATAATCATTCTTCCCTGGATGCTCTTCAGTGTGCCACCTCCACAGTGAAGGTCACTTTATATCTGGTGGCTTATTGTTTTCAAATAATGTATCTGTGCATAAATAGCTGGGTGAAAAAGATTGCTGTGCCATCTTTCACTTAGTGGCTGTTTCTCCCTCTGTCAGTCTCGTTATCTCTGAGAGGTGATGTGGTCTGATGGAATTGCCCCGGGTGTCAGTCCAGAAAAGTCAGTCCTTAGCTCTGCCTGTGATGCCAAAGGCATATCTTTAATCTTTCCAGGTCTATAAATCAAATAACATAATTTATTGCTTATCTTGCATGAGCATTGAGAGGATTTAAAGTGCATATGACTATTGCCCTAGGAGTGTATAGCACTATGTATGAACACTTGCTGTTAAGTGGATGATTTTTTTACTTAATTAGAATTTTGAGAAGGTTCCCCTCTTCAGTTATGACTGGCAAAAACTTGAGACTTTTGGAATCACTTGCAAACCATCTCCCAGCTCAGAGTAGCTGAACACATCATCTCCTCCTTGTGGACAGAAATGCTTTCAGCTGTTCTGAAGGGTGGAACTCTGGAATATAAATGGCAGCCCTCCTATACTGAAATTAATTTTGGGTTTCAAAGAAGCTGGCCCAACATGAAAACATGCTTCCAGCAGTTACACCTTACTGAGCTAATCTGGGATTTAGGCATCTGTGAATCCACAGCAGGATTGCCAGATTACACCTTGAGTGCCCCTGAATGTGTTACCAAAAATAAACATCGGTGCTTAATGATCTATAAACCTGAATTCTTGTGGGCTGAGGAGGCAGGTGATTTTGGGAAAGGACCCATTTTCCCCTGCTCTGCTCTCTTTGCATCTCTGCAACATCACCAGAACACTTTCTCCTAGGAGTGTGCTGTGTGTATGCGTTCTGCCCTCTGCGAGAGGCTGAACCTCTGGAAGTCTGGAACAGGGTTGAAAAAAGCAAAGTAAATCAGATTGATGGGAAAGGACTAAAATCTTGAAACAGCTATGGATATAAAATGGAGTGCTGGGGGGATGTTAGTGCCTGTGAAAGTCAGATTCGTGCTACTGGTCAAGCTTCTGGGAAAGTGCATTTTGTACGGCACATAAATGTAGAACTCTGGAAGCGGTAGCCTGGTCTGGTAGATACTGCACAGCTCGGGAGTCAAGGGACCGACAGTCTTCCCTTCTCTGGCACCGTCTTCTATCATTTGCCTTCCTTATTAAGAAAGTAAACTTAGGGCAGAAAATTGTCCTACTTCATGTTAGTACAGCGTAATGGGGTCCTGGCCTTTGCGGGGGCTCTGGGTGCCCCTGGAACACACCCAGTAATGACAGCGGTGACCTGCTCTCTATCCTATTACTCCAGTATCCTACTTCAATTATGAGGAACAGTTTATTTCAGGAAACATGGTGGAAGTAAGCACTGGAAATTATGGTTACAGTTTATTTTCCTTCCCTTTTAATGTCAGCAGTATAGAAACATTGTTTTTCAGAAGGAAAAGGGCAGCCTCTCAAGTACAGTAGTGCAGAGCTCTCCAAGTGTATTTAAAGACCTTTGTATGAAATGGCTATCTGAGTAGCTTTTATGGGCTTCTGTGCTCAAAGGGTTTCAGATCTGCCTGCACGCCTATAAAGGAGAGAAGCAAAACTGAGTTCTGAAACTGCATTACCCTCAGGAGCCGCAGAAGTCATCTTCTGCAAGGACAGTAACAGCTCACAGACCTGCTTGTGCCAGAACAGAAACCTCTTTACCGGCGGCTGCTCGTGGTGCAGGTGACAGTACAAGCCACTGTGGTCGATTTAGCTGTTTCCAAGGAAAATACACCAGAATGGCACAAAATCCAGAGACTTTTGCTGCAGTGTTTCATTGCAAAGCTTTAACAATGCAAGACCCAGGAATTTACCGATACTGTTGTGTTATCAATTCCTGGGTGCTATTAGCTAGACAACTTACAAATGGTCGGACTGGTGGCCTAAAGAAATTGTTGGCCTTTGCCAAGATAGATAGAAATAGTTGCATAGAAGATTCAAGTGAATCAGTCACCAGAGCATGGATGTGTCAGGATGGATAATAAGCCTTATTCTCTTTCTGGAACTGGAGTAGTTTACAATGAGACAAGAAATATGAAACAAAAATACACTGACCACACATTGCCTGTAGTAACAAGCTACAGCCTGGCAAAATCAGTGATCTAGTGGGTTAGAGAACAAAGTTGACAGTGCCTTTTACTTTTTTTTTTAATGTGGTTCATGAGAGTATTCAGGTGATTTAAAAATTAGGGGGCTCTGATTGTCCTGTTTGCGGTAGAAACCACCTATTATAGTCATAGGAGTAACTGCAACTTAGGTGAAGGATAATTTGAACTACTTTTGGGTTTCACTTCAGACAAATAGAGTTTGAGCCACTTTCAGGGAAAGAATTCTACTTTTATCATATATTTTGTTGTGTGACAGTGTTGGGATGGCCTGTGTGATGGTATATAGCTTGTCTCTTGAACAGGTTTTCTCCAAGATTGTAAGAGATGTTGTCAAATAAAGATGGCAATACACAATTGATACATCATTTGATATTCACGCTCATGAGTCCCATTAATACGTTTCAGACACGTAAGCACAGAAGTTACCAGTGAACTCTAAACTGAATGGGAAAACGGTTGGATGCAGCAGAGCAGTAGAGTTGTCAGGGACAAAAAAGCTGAACATTACCTGTGTGTTTTGAACAGCCAGCATTTTTGCTTGGTAAATATTGTGTTTTGCTGTGGCAAACGAGATTAACAGCTTAGCTGTAGGAAAAGTGAAATCATGCTTTTATCACTGCATGTGGTGAGTTTTCTTGCTTTGCATTTATCGTGTCATTGTTCTATAGGTGCTTTTTAAGATATGATGAGAGGAAAATAAAACACTTTCTTCAGGATCAGATCCTCATACCTGGAAGTCCATCAGCCAAAGCCCAATTCAGAACTATCAGCCCTATATTCAGTTGTACGATTTGAGCACGGTAACCGTTGGGACTCATCCTTGCAGACAGCGATCTTTTAGAGCATGTGCAGTTTAACATGTGGCAAATGGGCTAAAGAATAACCCAGTGAGGATTTCTACTGTTTCACAAACATATAGACACAATTGAATATTATCTCCCCAAGTGGCTGACTTCATGAACAGAAGCGAATCAGCTGTTTCTGAAGGTCAGCAACACAGAGCTCTTAAAAGAGCAAAGCATTAGAGTCTCCTGATGGCAGCACTCCCTTTTCACCTTTGATTCCCTTTTCCTACCATGTTTAAGCTCTAGAGGAAGACTTGACTGACTCCAACAGCAAAGGAGAAGCCCAAGATAAGACTGTGATCTCACGTAACATGAATTCATTAAACTTCATCAAATGCAAGGGTGATATTTTTAGGAGTAGTTAAGTATATGCGGAATATAATAAAGATAGGCTTATTTAGTCTGTAGAGTAGCCACGACTCAAATCTTGTGGGGCTTTCTAAATCAAGCTCAGTGTTTTAAGTTATATCTGGAAAAAGACTGTGCAGCAAGTAGTGAAGTCAGTGGAGCTAAGGTATATAATAAGCACTGTACAAGTAGTCCCAGCAGCAGGAGAGAGAGTAACGTTCTGCAGGGGGCTCAGCTATTGCAGGGCCAAAAGACCATTAAAGTTAGATCATGACAGGGAAGTAAAAAGAGAAGTGATGTGCAAATAATGTTCCTAAACGTGTTTTGGTTTTAGGTGTAGGCTTTATGCTAGAGAAGCAAAAATTCTGAATGGAAATTTTGTTGTCTTGCCTGTGCTGCAGAAGACCTCATGCATGCAGTGCAGTAGATGATGTGGAGGGTGCTCTGTGCATTGGAATAATGCTTGCTCTGTGCGTAATTGTAACCATATGTTTGCAAAAGCCAGGCCTCCGCTATCATGAGAAAGACAAATGTGTTTTGATTTTTAGAAGAAAAAGGTTTCTGCAAGGAGTATTACGGAGTATGTTATTGTAAACTTTTACATTCGTTATTTCAGTGAGTAAGAATTGCACATCCACTTAAACCATTTGAGATTAAAATTATAACTACTATTAATTCTCATGTTTATGGGTATATACCGGGTGCTTCAGAAGAGTAAATTCCCCGTCACAGTATAATATAATAAAATATTGGAGTCAAGTTGCACCGCACCAACATTTTACACCCTATTACTGTTCTGAATTATCTGTTATTAGCTCTTATTCAAGGCAGATTTGGTTAGATGGACAGTTGTCTGTGTCAATTCAATAGCAAATATGTTTTTAGGCTTTCAAATGAATATTTCAAGTGAATCATTGCACAATTTTTCTGCAAATTGTCTTTAAATCTCCTCCTTCCTTTCCCTCCATCTTTTAAGGAGCTTCCACCCAGAATTCCAATGCAGTGGAACCAGAAAAACAAGTTGACAGCACGGTTAAAATGGCTGGAGTTATAGCTGGGCTTCTGATGTTTGTTATTATCCTCTTGGGAGCGATGCTTACTATCAAGAGAAGGTAAGTTTCTGCTTTGCTTCCATCTTGGACCTTCTGCCTAGAGTGTTTTTACTTCAAAAAGAAGAATAAATTTGGTAGAGATAAAACATTCCATTTGTGTTAGAAGACAGCAGTTAATACCTGCTTACGTAACACAACCACTGAGGAGTTGTAGTCCTGGAAGAGATTTCTGTCCTGGCAGGTGAGCAATAAAAGAACGGTTGTTATTGCAAAGAGTTAATGGTAATTAATTCATAATTAATGAGAAAGGATGACTTATGAAGGTGCGTGGATAAGTACCAGGTAATAATGAGGCAATAGAAGTATGCGTGTGAGCTGGCGCAGTCATGTAATAGAAGACAAGAATTCTTTCTAAAGCTCACTGAGGTGTGTTTTGACACAGCAATTTCTTTGCAGCCACTGTGATTAGGATCTTTTCAACCAGAGGGTTAGAACCTTTCCAAGAGTTCGCTTTTATTTACAGGGGAATGCAACTTGGAAAAAACATCTGTGGCAATGAAAATCATTCAGACAGTTTGTTTTGTGTGTTTTTCTTTGGCCCATTTGCACTTAACGCTCTGAAATAGACTGTTGGGGTTGCTACTATCTCCAGATACTCCACATTTACTAGGCAGGAGGTTTTCTTGAGAAAAGGCTGTATTTTGTATATCTTTTTACCAGTCACCCTACTTTTCGACAGTAATTTTATTCTAAATGAAACATGAGCTAGGGAGCCTGGCAGCCCCTTGTCTAGGGTACAGGTAGTATTAAATGTGAGAGCCTTGGTGGTTTTACTTGGTCTATTTCAGGGAGTGCAGCTTTCCAGAGCGAAACTCTGTGCCTTTGAGACCTTATATCTCTGTGACAAACAGCCACACATTTCCTCAAAATACCAACAGCAGTTTAAATCTAGATATGGTCTCCTCTATCTTACTTCAGAGCACATATGCAAATGGATAATTCCATGCTACTGATGCTGGAGTGCAGGGCTGCTGTTCAGAAAAAAAACTCAAGAAACTGGAGAAATAGGCTGGTTCTGATGTAAAAAGAAAATCCCAAAGTCAAATCTTCCTTGCCATAGGTTCATTTTCAGGATTTTCAAAAAAATGCTGACCCCCTAACTGCATGCCATAGGTCAGAATTTTCATCAATGGATTGTAGCTTGATTCCACTTTTTTGTTGTTGTTGTTTTCTAGTGTACTTTTAACTCAGATGAGTAAACGATAGAGAGATTTATCCAGATCTAGCTTTTTCCTGCATTTTATTCTTCTGATGTTTCAACTGTCATGACTGCTGCAGTATAAATTGATATCTCATAGGCAGAAAAATACACAAAGCCAGAGATGAAGTACTTGTAATGCAGAGCAAATTCTAGAGGCTGGAGACTGAGGGACCCATTTGCTTGATATAAAAAGTCCAAGCTCGTGCAGCCCTGAGCTGGCCCCTAACCCGGTGCCTGTGTACTCCCATGGAACTGGCCTGGTCCCAAAGCAGCAACATTGAGTCAATGTGGCTGTGATGTCCCACAGACAGAACTTTACTGCACCTAACCTTGCTGTAGGTTTAGTTTACCTGGGCATCTTTCTTCAAAATTAAACTTAGAGAGAAGAGGAGTGGATAAGAAATACAAATTCTCCCCTTTGTCTTTCTAGAGCTGGAAAATTGCATTTTCCTCTGCCGTTCCCCACTGCCCAGTGCAGGCAGGCAGAATCACTGCAGCCTGTGTCTCACTCTGCCTGTTTGCTGGCATTTCCAAGGCTACCTGCTGGAATACACACTGTCATAAGAAATAAACTGGCTCATCGACTTTAAAATCTTTCCCCATTTAGAAGCTATAACGGTGCAGAAAGAGGCTTGCTCACACACCTCCAGCATCCCTGACAGCCCCGCTGATTGCATCGGTCCTGCCTCTCCCCGGAACAGGCACCACCAGTCACGTCCAGTTGGGGATTGGAGCCACATATGGACAAGTGTTCCCTGAAGATGAAGTGAAGTCTGTCAGCTAATGCAGATTGGGACCAGCTTTTTTAAAAGGAAAGGCTACTTTGGGCCACAGGTTGATGTGAACTTCTGAAGGAGCTGAAAGCTCACATTTGTCTGAGAGAGCAGTTTAACAGACTTCTCTTTCTGTTTTACAGACAGAAATGTTAAGAGCTTAAGCTTTTGCGTTCGATTTTTGCATTAACCTTACTTTAAAAAGAGTTCCCCTTTTCAGTTCACTAGGGCTAATGCCTCAGTGTACTAGACAGTGTAGTCTTGCAAGGCAACAATGCAGAAAAAATAATTTAATTAGACAAACTTGAAGAGTTTTCTTCAAATGGAGCTGGAAAATATCACAGTGACATTTGTTCATGGTCCAGGGCATCATAGTTCGTTGGTAATGGACTATCCACTAATCCACAGTGTGGTGGATTTCATGAATGAAGCATTTTGTTAAACAGTGCAAAGAGCAAAAGAATGAGAGAGATTAAAAGAGACAGAAATACTAAGGGAAGCCAGACATTGGTTTGAGACTAGGGTTAGGGAGATCTTCAGAAGCCTTTTTGTTTTTCCCCCCCTGAGACACACTAAATCATCGTATTTTTTGGAACCTTTCATATGCAAGGCGTGAGCAAGCATGGCCCAGTTGCTCATAGTTTCTGTGGACCACATTGCAGAAAGGCAGGCGAGAGAAATTTCTGAGGGTTGCCAACATGTTATAGCGCTTAGTCAGATATGTGAGGCTATTTTATACCAGCCAGAATTATTATGCAGTAGAAAAGTTGTGGTTGACTTTAAGTTTGTTATCTAAAAACTTCTGTTGACTCCCAGGGTTGCCTAAAGTCTCCCAAAGTTTCCATATGTGTATATCTGTGCACAAATTTTGTGTGTGCATATGTAAATTTCTGGTTTCAATATGACTGTTTTACAGTATCTAAAATCAAAACCATCAACAACATTTGCTTTCTTGATTTTTTTGGAACCCACTAGCTACATGAGTTGCATGTTTGCAACTCTGGTGTCTTCATTTGTATATGGACACACAAATTGCTACAGCATCATTTTGTCTCTTAATTTACAGGTGGTGGTCAGTGTCCACGTGGGTGCATTTGCCCACATAAGGCAGTAGTGTTTTCTTTCATTAATATATACATACCTTGAGATACCCCATTTTTATTGTCCCAAAACATTGACAATTCTCTAAGGAGCTTGTTTGTTTGTCCTTAATGTTAGTTCAATATTTTTGTTTAATAGAAAATACAGGACTGGTTAGTGAAAACAAGATGAAACAAGAAAAGCAAGAGATTTGTAAACTTCTTTTCTGGAGGAAATACCCTTTGACTTTGCCCCTCAAAAGGATTAAGTTTTGGTCACTTCTGATTTCATCTGGACAGTTCTAACTCCAGTGTAGTTGTGATTTGCATTTCCCTGGAGTGAGGAATGTGACGCTTTTCAGACTTGTGCATTTGAGCGGACAAAGCCTCTGCTGACCCCTTTAACTGTAAGACTGAATAAGTAGGATCAGCCAGCCTGTCATGGGGACACTGTAAATAAGTTCTTTAAACTGCTGTTGGTAGCAAAAAAAGAGATTTGGGGCTATGTAGGGTGTAGGATTAGTTCCTCCTATGAAAATTCAGCTCCTTATGCTGGATTAGGATTTAGGTTGTTATCTTAAACTAATTAAATAAAACCCAAAAAGCCTCTTGAGCAGAACATACCCAAGCTATAGGATAGCATTAGCAAAGGGATATTTGCTCGCTCAGTGACCCGTGTCCCTTCGGTGTCCATATTTAAGGAGGAGGACAGGCAGGGTTTCAGGTTGTGAGGTACATCTTAGGATCACATCATGTTTTTAGTGATCTGTAACTCTGACCGATTTTAACAGTTGGTTTGGGGATACTCCTTAGGAAGCCCTTATTTCAGGTTCCATATGTGGGGAGAAATTGAGACAAAATTGCCTATCAAATGCCAAAATATTATCTTCCTTTTCTCCCCCCCCCCCCCCGAGCTCTTCTCTGCAGCCTGGGGGTTACGCAGCTTTTTAATGAGAACTAAGAGTCTCGTATGGTCACACGTGTCTCTTGACCGAGACATGAGGAAACAGAAAGTACAGCAAGATGTTCAGTGGGATAATTATAATACTGTGGGAAATCTGGCACTGGCTATCAGAGGGATTGGTTTAATGGAATAATTTGGGGGATGTAGGGGGTGATTTGGGCAATCTGGTTTCCATGGGTGTGTAGGAAAATTATGTTCAAAGCAACCATAAAAGTGCATGCTCGAACCCTGCATTTATACCTCTGAGCACTTCTTCGTATTTGTAGTGTCTTCAAGGATGGGATTTTCAAGTAGTGCAATAGGTTAAAGTTTGTGTTTCATTTTTCCCCCCCCTGTCTTGACCACAGCTGTTGCTTTTGAGGCTCCTTTGTGACTTGCTGTTAATCTGTAATGCCATGTGCTAGATCTGTTGGGAAGCAGCCTTTTCAGAGAAACCCTTTGCTAGTTGTAAAAGGGAAGACATCACCTCTGAAGTTTTAACTGAATGCCAAAGCTCATTTTGCGGCCGTTACTCAGAAACATATCAAAATATTCTGAAATGTATTGTTAAAAAACTGTAATAGAAAATGCTTAATCACAGTGACGCAGAAAGCTAATGTGTACCCCCAGTGATCAGCTATAAATACGTAGTGATGCTTGAATTATTAATGAACTGTTTGCCTTTTAGAGTTTGATGAAGCTTGATTTATCATTACACAATTTGTTCATTGTCTAAGAATTCCGAGATTGTAGCATTCTTACATTGTCACTCTCCTATTCATTGTTATTTATGTTAATAGCTCTTAGATATTTCTTTCTGTTGCAAAAAAATCTCAGAACACTTTACAGACAAAGGTAAGTCTCATTATGTGGCATGGCAAAAGTACGGAAGAAAGAGGTTTGGGGATATATTCATGGTGGCACAAGCCAGTAGCAGAAGTGTCTCCAGTTCAGTATCTGATCCTCCCCACCATACAGCTCCTGAAAACAGTCTGGGAGAATAGGAGCTCAATACGAGAGGCAGCACAGATACTTTGGGTATTGAAAAAAATCCAAGAGTACATATAAATCTAATTATGTGTTATTCTTTTTTTCTCCTTTTGGATATTTTGTTCATCTGACTGGCCATTGATGTTTAGAAGAAATGCATATTCCTATTCCTATTACTTGTAAGTACTTCCTGGGGATGATGGTTCTTGAGTGTGCTCACCCTGTGGTAATTTTGTGCTTTGTTGTATTCTTTTCGTTTACCGCTTTTTTGTTACTATTCCATTTATCCTTGTCTTCCCAACAGCTTGTGTTTTATTTTCTCAGTTTTGCAGCTGTGTTTTCCCCATTTTATCATTGCACCTATGACTCTGCCTGCAAACGCATAAATGTCCACAGATATGTCAGTTACGGTTTATAATTCTTCAAGTGCTAATGGAAAAATACAGTATCCCAACTACCCTCTTTTTTTAGTTATCCATCATATTTAGCCAGACTGCAGGGAAATTCACACTTGAAAGTTATTGCTGGGAATTTCTCAGCCATGGATGTAAGCTGTTTTAAAAATGTAGGGTATCTGACAACTGGGATTTGACATTATCCCAGCAAACATCCCTGTTCCTGGAGTTGCCAGGTTCTGAGTGTCAGTTTAGATGGCTGGATGATGAAGTGGTTCGGATATTCAGATCTAGATCACCTGTCCAGTCCTAATGACAGCGCTGCTTAATTAAGGCAGTTGTTAAGATGCATGAAAATGCTTCACACATCAGTACTTCCAGAGCCATCTGTTGTCTAAAGATTGAGGGGCTGGGAGGTAATCGGGGCCAAGCTGTTTCTGCCGTGATAATAGTTGTCTGAGGATTAGGAGGAGGAGAGGAGTGGATCAATGATCTGAGGAACGAGTCCTGGAGAACAGAGCTGCCACCAGAGGGTTGGGAGGGATGGAGAAGACAACTGTCACTGCTGAGAGAAACGGGTCTGCCATCTCTCAAGCAGCAGCAGCTGTGTCGCTGACCTAAACCTTGCTCCCAAAAGCAGCAACAACCTGCCAGACTTTCCACGGCTCTGACATCAACCAAGTGGTCAAAACAGCCACGTCTGTTCTGCTACCTGCTCCGAGCCTGCCGCCCCTGGCAACTCCTCCTTTGCCTGTTCTTGTAGTTCATCTTTGTCTCGGTCTTGTGCCTCTGTCCTTTGTGGACTTTGTGCACACATCTGGAAGGTGTTCAACAGCAGGTCAGTGAAATGAGCACATGAATGTTCTGCCATTTTGGTGGAAACTGACTTCTTTCCCCTATGAGTTGATTTACATCCAAAGAACAGGGATAAGGAGTTAAGTTTGAAGATTCCTGTGTATCACCTGCTGGAATGATTTTCCCTCTTGATGACCTATCAGGAAGTAATTGAAAGAGGAACTTTGCCCACTAGATAAGTGTGCGAGGAGCCTAAAGACACTGTAACGAGCCTTGACTTTGCCCAGTTAGGTAATTGTAAATGCAGAGTAACTGTTTCCTCTAGACTTTACGCTGGTTCACCAAAAGGGAATTTCCCTTTAAGTAGTCAGATTTCAAGAGAAGTTTAGCTAAATATTAAAGTAGAGGATGGTTTTAACATATAGATGCTAGTAGCTAGTTGCATTTCTTACTACAGCCTTTTCTCTTCTGCGAGTTTCTCACTTTCGAAAAGTGCCCTTTGCACTGTTGTTCTGTTTTGGTTTCCTTGCAACCTGTCAGCACCATTGCCTGAAAAATTCAGTCCTCAATTTTCCACTGTAATTTCATCTTCCTCCAGCGGTCAGCATGTGGTCAGAATGCTCCCTGCTTTATTTTACTTTGACATTTGTGTATTTAAAAAGATGAGTCAACTTCTGAGCCCTTTGTGACCCCTTTATAGGACTGCACAACGCCATTGCTTTAAGCAGTCACCTGAAGATTACTCCGCTCCAGAGAAAGTAAGGGTGTCATTAAACGGTCTCCTTGCAGTCTTGTAATGGCTTCTGTGGATCAATATACTAGAACTTTTTTCTCAGGCAATGGGAGAGTGACTCAGAGAAAGTGAAGAGACAATCCTCTGGAGGTCACCCAAGCCTGAGGTTGCAATGAGCTTCAGCAGCAGCGGAAGCAAGTGCTTTCGTAAAATTCTATAAGGCAGATGCACACCATAGCACAGCAGAGAAAAACCAGAGGTGCTGTCAGGCAAGCTGTGTTCACAGCAGCACACGGAAGCACTCGATGGAGGTTTGAGCTCAGGATGCAGAAATCGTGTAACTATATCTCCCTAGTACTGCACCCACTAATTTCGCAGATTGCTCATTCTTAGCTCTGGGCTTGCGGTGTCCCTGGTACCCCACCAAGCGTGAACTCTGCTAGCTGGAGCATAACTGTGGGAGAGGTAACACTTAAATAGTTCATCACACGATGAATGCTTCCATCGACAGGCTGTGTGTGTCGGCATTTGGTTTCAAATTGACATTTGACCTGTTCCCTAATCTGGCAAAACCAAGCTCTGTTTGTTGGTTGCGTTGTTGGGGTTTTTTTTTCCTAAATAATAGTCAGGATGTGAGGGATGTTCTAGTGGTGAGGGAGGAAAGTAGGAGAATGCATGAAGAAGCATATGATGAAGTTTTATTGAGTTTTGTATTTCAAGTTTCACAAGAAATAGAATGTTTCGTTATGATTGCACATGAAAATCTTAAATTGCTAAGGACTGTGTAATTCTTAGCCAAAGCTGATAGAAATTGCTACAGCCTCTTATGAGCAGAGGGGTTTGATTTAAGTTTATTTGCAATGTTGTAAAAATAAGAGCAGCGATATGTATATATAGAGAGAGATAGATTTTTATTTTTTTTTTAGATAGAATTGGTTTTCACTTTTTATGAATGTTTTAGTCCTGAAGCAAAATTCAGTTGAATGAGTTTACCAGAATTGAAAAGCAGCTTCTCAAATAGATCTGCTGGCAGACCTTTAAATAGGACCATATGGACTACATTGCTCTATTTTTAGTTTCAATTTCTGGACTTCAAAGTTGTGCTTCTCAGAGTAATTCTTGCCTGCGCTACATATAATTCCTCTCAACCTTTTGTCATCTGCTGTACTGACATTTCTTCTGGAAGGGACCGAAATGTCCAACCCTACCTCTTCTAAACACTTCTTAGTGACAATTGTATTAAAGTCACGGAGATTCACATCATGAGTAACTGTTTTTTACAGAGATGGGGCACGAGCCTTGTGGTAATCTCTAGACTGAAGTTCTGCCTTCAGCCTGTCCTGTGTTCTGCTGCAGTCCAGGACTGTAAAATCTGATTCTGTAAGATGGTTGAGTACCTGCACCTTCAGTGAAACCAGCCAAAACCACTCATTTATAAGAGCAGCATTTTAGCTATCCCGTGCATACACAGTTATGGGTAAATAGTCCTGGGGTATTTGTATCGCAACACTTAAAAACTTCTGCAGCACCTAGGAAGGGATGTTATTGTGGCTGAAAGAAAAGGCCACGAGGATCTTCAACAAGCTTTAAGTAGAAATACAAACCCAGGAGGCCTCTATTCCTAACTTGCTAAGTCATTGTGCAGAATCAACATAATTTTACTTCAGTTCTCCCATCGTTAAAAGTCAATTGCTCGCGATTTGAGATCCTTGGACAGAACTTGGTTTTGTGGTAAGAAGAGGGATGCAGAATTCGGAGCTCCTGTCCTGACGCACTTGTTGCGTCGCTGTCGCCAGGGTGATGCACAAACCTTTTCACAGGAGTTACTCTATATTTACACCGAAACATACGGGGTTTGAGGCTTGTGCAGAATTGCTAGCTCTGTCCCATGGCCCTTCAGTTTAATGCAGAGTAAGATGGGATGCGCGGTGTAAGACAGCAGCCCATCCGTGTCTGGAAGTTCTTGGGGTTTTTCCTTACTGAAGCTGCAGAGCACACACAGCAATTCCTCTCCTTTAAAGGAGGTTTTGCATTTAGTGAGAGACAGACACCTCTTTTGGCTGCAGCAAATCCACATCAAGGCTTCATTATTTCCTCACTGGGAAAAGGAATAGAAATATTTCCTCTGTGTGGGTCAGGTTGGTTTGTTTTGTTTCTTTCTTTTGGGCTGGGTAATAGTTGAAGGATGAAATTTAATCGAGAGTGGTATCAAGATCAGAGCAGTATTTCTGACAATTCATAGATTCATGTGTGTGTTACAAGCACTCAGTTTAATGTTTATAAGAAAAGGGCACTCAACAGCGAATATGTTGTTTTCCTTTTCCCCTGAATTGGCTGGAGTACCAAGGACAAGACTATAGGATGTAGGAAGCCTCTTCAACACCTCTTGTAATTTCATGCCAATTTGAATTGTTGCAGTGATTTCAGCCAGGAGTTTCTTTTCACGGGAGAGGTTCTGTCAAACTAAATTTATACTTGCATTTTCTGAAATAGTAGAGTTCATGCTGAATTTATTTCCACCGTCTGTGGGACATTTGAAAATAAATAAAACACTATTTTATTTATAGGCATACCTCTGTATAACCATATACATACAGAAATAGCCATATATTTCCGTGGATGGAGGGATCTGCTTGCATAGGTCTGATTGCAAAATCAGGATTTTAAGAAGAACCTGCTTTTCTCATTAGGTGCTGGAAAAACAGAATTATGAATCAGTGGTTTTGCCAGCCTAGTGAAAGCAAATTTTAAAACGTGTAATTAAAATCCAGAAAGCAAGTAAGATTTTACTTAGAATGTGTCTGTGTGGTGATTACAAGCCTAAACTTTGCAGAGGGCAGTGTTTGCTGGCTGTGTATTACCAGCATATACTTATACTTTATGGATCTTATATGCACCTGTCTTGTCTAAATTTTATATGGTTGTAAGTAAATGTCCTCCACAAACAGTGCTTAACTTGGTAAGTAACTCCGAGTGCAGCCTTGCATTTTTCAAGACGCTCTGTATATACTCAGTGCAAAATATTCTTTCAGCCATGTCACATCCCTTTCCCGTGTCATGTCACGTCTGCTCTGTCAGCAGAAGCTGCACGTGGGTCCTCCCTCGTCACTTCCCCCTTGCCCCGGTGAATGCTCTGCTCCTGCCTTAGGTTTGACTTCACCCTTGGAAGGCCCTAAAAAAGAGCAAGTAAAGCTGTTTGGACGTGCACCCATAAGCGGAGGATTTGCCCTTACGGCAGCTGTAGGAGGCAGAAAGCTGCCGGTGTGCTTGGGGCAGAGACCGGTTCTTGGCTCTGCCAGGGTCCCAGGCTGCACGGAGAGAGGCAGGGCTGGGCTGTGGCTGGAAGCGGAGCCAGGAGCAGGGGCTGCTGCTGGCCCTCGTTCCTCTTGCCCCTGCTTAAGCACCTCTCATAGCGTGTGGTTTTCTCAAAGTTTAAACTAAACTGTGCTTCCTGCAGCTTAGCCCCGTGGCTTTTTTCCCAGCCCTTGTAGACAGGGAGAACAGCTTCCCTGTGGTGGCTTTTTGTGTGTTGGAAGACCTATATCAGCCCTGTTTGATTTTTCTTTTCTCTAGATTAAAGATCCCTATTTCCTTTGGCCTTTAGCTTGTAGGTCATGTTTTCTAGATTTACCTTACTTTTTCTGCCTTTCTCTGTGTCCCCTTGGCACCTGTCTTATTGGCAGTGCAGCAGAGACCTCACCGATCCCTGATCAGAGCACAGGGAATACTTGTGGCTTTTGCAGCCCACAGCGTTGTGTATAATCCCTCCCTTGTTTTTCCATCAACGTGAAACCCTTCTTTCAAACTGAGTTTGTGATCTGCTGCAGGTCTGGAGGATAGAGATGCTTTTCGATAGAACCGCTGGTTAACCGATGCTCCAAGTTGGGTGTTGGCATAGCTGATCGCTACCTGCTTTAAATTTGTGCAGATTTCATCACAAATAATATGTGTATTGCTGTGCACAAATATCTAAAATAGATTGTGTTTTGCACCTTCCTTAAATTCCTCATTGAATATGAGAGCAATATGCAATTCTTGTCTGGAGCAGGAAATTTCATGTTTAACTTACATGATCTATGCCTAATGTCTAAATTACCTGTGCATGCAAGTCTACATTATAGTGTGTATAATGCATCCTTGTGAAACATCTAAAATTAAATCTGTCAACGTACGTGTACAAGAGCTCTTTAGAAGTGGCAGTTAAAGGTTTCACATTCATGCTTGTAAAATTGATGTAAAAAGTTAGAGATGAGCTTGAAGCTGCGTTTAAAATGTAATCCTTGAAGTTTATCCAGACCTTTTCAAAACAGGAATCTACTCTGGCAGGTACTTCCAGTTGAAAATATTGCTTGAGCTATCTGATTAATGACCATGTACTAAGTTTGCATTCCTTGACTGTTAAACTGGAACTCCCACAGTTTTAATATAGTGCTTCAGCGCTCTGTATCAGTTCTGATAGAAGTTCCAAAAATAGCTGAATCATTTTTACTTGTTTGGTTTTTTCTTTATTTATTTCAAAACTCACAATTAGCTTATATTCCCTGCCAGTAGATCTCATCCTTGCTTTAATTGGGTCAGCTTCAACTGCCTGATTATACAGCAGGTTTCATTTTTTTTATTCGGCTTTGAGCATCTTTCTGTCTCATCCCTCCCGTGTGTGTCTAGTGCCTGTAAACATCATCGCTTCCTTTACAAACCCCTTTAAACTAAAAAGCACAACCCAGTAACCTCTGTCCATGGACTTCTGTTTTCCTCCTGGCGTCTATTCCTTGCACTTACACAAATAAGAGCCATTAATATCACCTTATTCACATTTTAACATTTCAATCTCTTCACCCTGTGTTGATTGTCTCAGCTGCTGCTTCCAAATATCTGCTCGGTCCTTTATTTCTTCCCCTTTTCAACTGCGTAAAGCCTGAGATGGTAAGTGTCACCCCAGTGCCAATGGTGGGCGGTGGTGGCACCGGCTGGTGGCACCTGCAGCCGGCCAGTGACCGATGCTCCTGCACCAAGAGCAGCTTCGTCGGGCTGGGGCCGCCGTTGTGTTTAGGGGAGGCTGGTCAGTGAGGAGAGCAGGAGCCGTGTCGCTGATGCAGCTTGTTCAGTGATTCGCAGAGATTTCTTCAAGTGCCCTATTTTTGGAAACAGCATTTCCAGATAAATGCTTTTCCAATTCCAAAGGCATTTTGACATGCTGGGAAATAAACCTCTACCTAGCTGTGGGTTTAAGTCACATTTCTAACATTCTAGAAAGTGCTAGTCATTTGATTTTGTAATCCTTTCTATGAATTATAACGATGGCGAGGACCAAAT